TTTTTCATTTATATTATTTTAAAATTGTTTTATTTTTTCTTCCTTCCCACTTCCATCCAAAAAATGTTCAATTTTGTGACTTTAGGACGATAAGCTAATTTCCTTATTGTGACACAAGAATTTATGTTTATATAATACGGAGTACTAAAACTATATGTTTAAAAATTAATCTATAGTTTTTTATAAGAGCATAAGAATGAGAATCAAATATGATACATTTGCACCGAAGCTATATTGAACTATTCCTTTGGATTGAAATTCTTTAACCGGTACGAACTACTGAACTAGTTTAGTCGAAATCAACATGTTTAAGTAAATGTCTAGTCTAGTAATGTGTGATTTTACTGCTCTATTCTACTACTCCTTCCGTCCCATTGGAATGTTCTCACTTTCCTTTTTTGAATGTTCCGTTGGAAAGTTCTCATTTCCCTAAATGGAAAGTTATCCTACATCAAAACATGGTCAAACAGTGCAAAAAAGTGTCAAACAGTGTCGAAACAGTGTCAAACAGTGTCGAAACAGTGCCAAACAGTAAAATTTACCCCCTGGTAAGTTTATTTCTTTAATATGTGTGTAGGTCAAACCGGGAACATTCCAACGGAACGGAGGGAGTATTAAACTTATTTTAGTTCCACATCAGATAAGACTTAAATAGATCAATACACAACTTATTCTTATTTATTCATGTCTCATCTCTGATGTTCAATTAAGTTTAATCTATTCTGAATCAATATGATTTTGATCTCATGTAAGATGAACGATTGGATTGCTCTCATAAATAAATAAACTAAATAAGTACCAGTGACCTTTTCTTCCCATGGATGAGAGAGAGATTCTAATACTTTGCCCTCAAAATCACATGCAAGCTTAGGCTATATTCAGATAATCATTTCACTTCAAAATGAGGTAAAACATGATAGATTTAGACAATTAATTGTCAATTGTTTTGATGAAGAATTGATCTGGATTAGGTTTAAAATTAATCATCTGATTTGTTTCATTTCAGACTTTTAATTTATGGTAAACTTATTTAAATTTTATGTTGTTTATATTAACACATTTATTTTTATGAAAGTACATTTTCAACCATTATTTCAACTATATTACAAAACAAGCACACTTTATTCAGCTAGCATTTTAGTTTCGATAACTTCTACTCCCTCCGATTCCTAAAGAAGTTCCACATTTGACTTCACACATATTAAGAAAATAAATTTGACTTTACTGTGGAGTGCACTGTTTGACACTGTTTGAACACTGTTTGGCACTGTTTGACACTGTTTTGATGTAGATAATAAGGAAATGTTTGAAAGTGGAACTTAATTTTGAATCTGCCCGAAAAGGAAAGGTGGAACTTGTTTCAGAAACGGAGGGAGTATATAGCTTCACACAATTGTCTCTAAATTAGGCAATAGCCTAATTTCAATATAGCTAAGAGTTATGTGTGATCATTTCAGATCTCAATAGAAACAAACGGCGAAATTCTGAAACCCATATGTTCAGTTTTTCAGTCAAATCAAGCACCCTTTCCCCTCAAAATTTTAATTTTTAATTTCACGCTATAAATTTTAAATATGGAGTATAATTCTGAAATATTTTAGTAGAATCGATTGATTCATTCACTTTAATCAAAATTTTATTAATTTGACCAAATTCAACTAATTTAGCTCTTTCAAAATTATGAAACAAACTCTTAGGGAGTTAGGGCTGTCCTCAATGTGGATTTGAATGAGGATTGATTATCCCAATGAAACAAACTCTTAGGGGGGTCGTCCCTGAAGTCTGGATTATCTTCTCCATGTGAAATACTACGTACTTCGTACCCAATTATACAAAAAAAAATACGAGTAATACGGAGGAGGATTGATCGGACTCACGACATTGACCTGGGATATACGTAGTACTCCGGGGCATTAAATACCGCCTGTCGCTATCATGCGCCAAAAAGTCGCTTTCCTGCCCCTCAGAAAGCTTCCCTTTCTTTTCACTTCCGTCAATGATTCAGGTTCTGATACTTAGTTCGACTTCCAGACTTTCTATACTCTGCACATGATATATATACGAGTTTTTGTTCATCTACAAGCTCATATTGTATCTATCTAATTCAGTCGTCGGCGGTAGAAGTATCACCGGAAATTCTCAGATCCGTAATCTCCTCCTCCTTTGCTGCTTTAATTTCTAAATATGCAATGTCTAAAAATCCCCTGCTATACTGCACTTTCTAATCGATGGGTTGCTCTCTTTAAGTTAATCTTAGGAGTAGGAGATGTCTAAGTTGCAAAGTTTGTAAATTTGTACTTTTTTGTGTTTCTGTTGGTTGATATCTAAGTGTTAATGAATTTGTGCACTAAGTCACAATTAGAATGAATAATTTAAAGTGAAGTTGGTTGTCTTATGAGACTAGCTCTTCACTATATATGGAGTGTTTTTTTAATAAATTATTTGTGCATGTTTTAGGTCATCATAAATTAGGTTTTAATATGATATGCCAATTAAGCTCAAAAAATGGACTACAATTTCAAGATTGGTTTGCTCCAACAAGACAGTATCTTAAGCCGCCAAGAATAAATACTCTGTAGGAATTCAATTCACTACTTGGATTCACTCAAAAAGTAATTTTGAGAAGGAAGGCTAATTTGGTAACTTTGAACATCAATGCTCAATGTCTGGAGGAATGGCATTCCAATTTTATTTATCTTTCATTCTTTTTGTATATTTGATGCTCTGGTGCTTTTCTTGTTACTAAACGGCTGCTATGCTTATCAATTCTTCTACTTTGTTGTGTTTAGAATTCTTTGGTTGCGCCATTGGACTGCCTTTCTTGGATGAGTTGCAGCAAAAGGGGAGCTAGTTTTGGGGTTGGAGTATTTCTTGTCAGTAAATGTATTTGGATCATGCTGACTGGATAACAGATGTTCATGGCGATTGGAGGAGGGGGTTTCTTCTCTTCTTCAGCTTCTGGGTGTAACAAGGGACTTGCCTTTCTTCTGTTGCGCCAGAAAACTGGAGAAAAGCCTATGAGAGTTACTCCGTGTAATCAGTTCGAGTTGGCGGACAAAGAAACCGATTCTGATCTCCAGCTGGCTTCCTGCAAGAGCACATTTGTCCGCAGCTGCACTTCCTTAGTCTGCTTTGGTCGGGCCTCTGCTACTGAACGTGGCAATCCATTACCCTGTTCCCCTTCTGTGAAGGCAAAGGATCAAACACATTCCACGAGTCCTGTGAAAGAAGGGATTGCATCTGCCCAGAATGCCCTTAGGAGTAGCTTAAAGAAAGAAGCAAATATCACAAGATCTTCTAGTGAAAGTGGTGACAAATGTGGGGAAATAAGAGATAAGAGTAACGTTGGATTAGGTCCTACAGAGAGGAGGAAAGTACAGTGGACGGATACATCTGGTGGAGAACTTTTTGAGGTTCGGGAATTTGTGCTTAGGTATGGTATTCCTGATTATCCATTTAATATTCTTTTTAAGTGGCCAGTAAGGCAGTAAGTTCATAATGTCTGGAACATTTTTTGGTTAAAGCATCTCACATAAACAATTTACCCACATCTCCAATTCTCCACGTAAGAAAGATATTACTTCGAGGCACAATACTTCGGCTCTTTTACGTCTTTGGACTTGTCTGCATATTTAAATTTTAAAAGTTTTTTCAAATGACCGCTTGTTACCGTAGTATGTTGAATAGTAATTAGTTTCTTCCATCCAGAATATGGTACATCTTACTTTAAATATGCTAGTAACTCATTAGGTTAGACATGTGTATAGCCACATACATCTTTGGTGTTGTTCTAGTATAAACCAAGGCCAGGTTTATTGTTTTCTTCACACAAAGCTCCTTTATCTAACTTATGCTGCCTTTCCTTATGAGTTAGGGTTGATCCAACTCTTATTGCATGGATTATTAAAACAGGCCCTAGTTTCGGAAGTGGCTGCTTTACTTTTTCTGCAAGTAGAAGATATGTATCTTTTCTATTTCTTCAGGGTGCTTATCATTTAGCCATTGTGATTTGCAGTAAGGAAGATGAATCAGACAATGACTTTGACAGCAAGAGCCTGAGGAGTTGTTCCTGCATGATTATGTAGTTTGTAATTTAATGAATGAATGATCAATTTGCATTTTTTTGTTGACTAATCTTATTTGTGTCCGTTTGTATTCGATCTGCTTGAGTGACATGTTTTGTTACTTGGCTTTCTTGGTGTTATCTGTCTGTCTGTATTTACATCCTATAACCATATTTAGAAGAGAATCCTATTTTTGTCCATCCAAATCGAGTACATGACCTTACTTTACTTTAACGCTTATTTAATATCCACATATTGATTAGATATTTCATGCAAAATTTTGATTGATAGAGAATAACGTAAATTTTAACTTGCCATCAAAAGTAGTTAAGTACTAAGTACTAACCATCACAGCATCACTATCATTATTTTTAGTCCCCCGTGAACATTTTTTCTTATTTCAGGCAGCTTCAAATTAAGATCCAAAATTCCTCAAATTGACAGGACCCTATGTATAACTATAACTAAAAATTAGGACGGATGGAGTACTTGGAAAATTTGCATTGTATGTCTAATTCCACCTTTAATAGAGGTTTAGCTACTGTTGATGAGTGATAATGTACTTTCAACCCCAGTAACACTTACCAAACAAGCATAGGTGCTAAATTTTCGAAAGGGGCCGTGACAATGTTGTTGTAGCGGTACATACAGAGAGAGGACTGCGAAGGGGCAAAACTATGGATCAAAACAGAAGCACTCAAGCAAGGGGTATTGAAAGAGAAACTATAATGAGGTGTTGGTGATTATAGTTCAGTCTGGAAAGTCTGTGAAGCGTAAACTATTGAAGTGGCAGAATATGCTGAAATCATGCATAAAATGTGGTCATGTTCAACAGCTTCAGAAAAAATACAGCCTCCAACCCCCAAAAGAAAGCCAACCGACTGCATTGTTAATCAAATAAGTTGGTATTTGTTACAATATATGGATTATAACCGACGGCCACGTTAAAGATAGACCATGCCACCATGGATTTACCAAACATTTTTTTCTTTCAGAAATTCAAAAGATCCAGGATCATGAGCCAAACTACCCTTGCCAAATCGGCACTTTCTGTCTTTGGAAACTTTCTTTTGAAAAGATAACTTGAAAAGTAGCTTATCTGGGCTGTTATTAGCCTACTCTTGGACGGGATTAGTAGTTGAACAAACAGCCAGTATGCCAGTATCCCACATATATGCAGATAGAGCGCCCAAGACTTGCTTTGGTTGTCTATCCAACAAATATGTAGAGTTCATTTTGTTCTCCAATGCCACATGCCCCCTATTATTAATCCAACCATCATTTTCCTTTCAAAAAAATGCCAAGGAACCTGACTCCAATGCCTTTCTTTCATCTCAATAAGAAAAAAGGCACAGCTTGTCAAATTTTTGGGCAATTAAGCTAAAGCACCCAAGGTGGCAACAAGGTGGGTCCCGACTGAACCTTAAGAAAACACAATTTGCTCCGCCTACAATTTGGCCTCATCTAAGACTGGAGCTCTCTCAGCTTTAATAGAACATGGCCACAAAGGTGAAAGTGCAACAACCTTCCCAATGATGATCAAAGTTGGTGATACCAGTTGGTGTGAAGCAACTTCATCTGCTAGATTGTTCAATTCCGCAAATACCTGAATTCATTTTAAAGAAAAAACTATGCAATAAAGCCCCTACACCAAATAAGTGTAAAAGTACACCATTGAATTGGTACATTATTTTTGGCATTTTAAACTCAAGTTAATGTTTAAGAATATACGTAGTATTACACATTACTATCTCATTGCAGAGGAATTTAATAATGGAAGCTGTCCTCTTGATCTCAAACCCGGGGGGGGGGGGGGGGGGGGGGGGGGAGAACCTGAGTTGGTGGGCTAGTTCGACTAGCAACCATGATGTTGCAAGTTCACTTGTCGTTGGTTCTACTGATTGGCTCATTGGTCTTCTTGGTTTGAGCCTGCTTGCTATGCCTAGACTAGCTTACCTCCCTTGTGGTCCTTTTTGGCTAGGTTCACAAGGCAGATGGAGGACGGAGGCTTACCAAGTGCACTTCTAGGGTGTAGCATATGCGGGTCCCCATGTAATCAAAAAATGAAACCAATGCTGCATATATGCATTAATAACTTACAGAGCGTTGTTGTAGTGTGGTCCCTCGTTCGACACCAGCAGCAGGTGTATCAGGGGGTAGGCCACCATGATGCATCAACTTTGAGACCAGAGATGGAAGAGTTGACAGTCCCATGTAAACAACCAAGGTGGAGTCCAGGTCTACTACTGCATTTTCTGCTGTTACATATAGAGGGTCGTCTGTTCCTCCTTTTCCTGAGTGGCCTGTCAGAAACCTAACACTATTAGAGACCCCACGGTGTGTCAACGGGATTCCAAGCTCTGCTGCTATTCCAGATGCTGCAGTAATTCCTACACACATTAACCCATCAGGATAAAATGATTTTCCTGTCATGAGAATGTTAAAAACAAGTAATGAAGTATTTAAAAGTTGATTTGAAAAAACGTATTTAAAAGTTCACACAAACATTACTTAGGTCCAATGAGATTCTGGTATGAATTAAATTTTATGTGGTCCTAAGATGATCTCTTCTTTATAATAAACACCTAAGCAACTGCACCTTTGAAGTTTCAACGCCACGTAAAGCTGTTTTTTTCACCTCTTTTTTGTTTTAGCATTTTGAAAGTACTTTATCTTTGACACTCCTCCATCTGTATTCCTTCAAGGGCAGATCCAATGTCATATGTTATTCAGATTGTTGTTTAATCAATATTATGTCAGGGTAAAATATCTAAAATATTTATTAATTATTGAACTGTGAATTTCAAGTTAGCGAACTGAACCTCGAGTAATTTTGGGAAAAAAGATTGAAGAAATTAAAAAAAGAAAGTGGACTTGTCTTCATAATGCTTAAAGTTTCATACCAGGTATGACTTTCACTTCAATTCCTCGTTGTCGTAGAAAGTCCATCTCTTCCCCACCCCGCCCAAACACCTATTCACCAAAATGTATGTAATTGGTATCAAAAGATTCAAAACAGACTCCAGTTGGTATAAAATGTAAACTACTGAAAATACCAAAAAGAAAAAGTGCTCACCAAGGGATCCCCTCCTTTTAACCGCACAACGGTGGCCCCAACTTCAGCAAAACTAAGAAGCAACTCATGAATTTCTACCTGCACAACCTCAAATGTTGGCTCATATCTTACTGCATATGGTGACTACTCTTGTTTGCACATATATCATTTCCACCCTATTCTGAAATTGATTAGATTCAATCAAGAATAACAAAACCAGTTCATAGAGCTAACCTGTGTTCTGCTGTGGTAACCAGCAGTTTTGCCAACATATAGAAGCCTGACATGGGGACCCACCAGGTTGAGCACATCATTGGAAACCAATCTATCATATAGCAGCAAATCAGCATTCTGAATCACTCTCAACGCCTTGAGAGTCAACAACTCTGGGTCCCCCGGCCCCGCTCCTACGAGAAACACATTAGTAGGACCTCTCTTCCCAGCATTGCCATTTTTCACTCGCTTCTCCTGAAGCAACTTCTTGAGCTCAGGAAGCTGCTTCTGAGCAACGTTATCACAGTCCATGATCCCAAAGTTTGGGTCAACTGGGAGTGGGCAGGAGGAGGATGGCTGCTCCAATTGGTTCTTGTACATCCAGCTGTCCCTCTGGTACTTCTCAACTGAGTGCCTCTCAGTGAATGGCGAATCGGAATGAGGTGGATAATGGATTGAGCAAACTGGGTTTAGAGCAAAAGATCCATTTTTTTTCAATCGGAAATTTGATGAAGAAGAAGATATACAACGAAATTCGCTCAAAAAATACATCTTCACAGAAAATGAAGGATATTAGAAGAATTTGATTTTTGTCTATAAAACCTGCTTGTAATGTATATGTATGTTTGTGTCATTTGATGCTCTGGAGGGTGAAAAGTTTGATTTGCATTGGAGCTGTCTATAAGCTTTTGGGTGATGAGGAGGCAAAAGATACGTCTTCATTCATGTAGGGCTATGTTCAACTCTTCTTTGATGGGATCAATCTCTGGTCTTCTATTGTGTGACAAAGATTTTGATCATGCCATTTACGACAACTCAGTTGGTTTTCTGCAACACAAAAAAAAATCCTTTAATGTTATAATTTTGCTGTGACTGTTGGATTTGACCCTGGACAAGAATGTAAAAGAGAACTCCCAGCAACGGAAACCGATGACGTGATATAAATTTTAGCAAACAGAACACTGGTCAATTGAACAGTTAGCATGATGTGTCGTCCAGCGGAGCCTAGAAACAGTTACAAATCCAGAGTGTACTAGTTTGCAAACTATACATTCAAGACTTGAGAAGTTAACATCTTTAAAGTAAAAGTGTAGTCAGACATATTTATTACTTAGGGCTACCCATGGAGCATATGAAGTATATAAATATAAGCTTTCCAAAACATGAAGTAATGTATTTAAATTTTACACTCAACAATAAGAAACAAACTCACTAATAGTGTTGTGCTCTCTGGTTCTCAACTTCAAGCTATATAATATGTTAATAACTAAATTTTCAATTTAATTAAGAAAGATCCATTATAAAAAAACAATAGAAACTTAGAAAGAAAAGCTATTATGCATACATATATACATATACCTACACACACATAGCTACAGAGAGTGGCAATTATATCAATCAGGGCCGGTCCTGTATGTTTGAAGGCCTAGGGCAGCAGGGCCGATAGTTTAAAATGGGCCTAATCTTAAAAAAATGTAAAACTTTTTCTATCTAAACTAACATGCATAATAATATTTCAAGATCTTTATAATCAAGTAAAAACTTAAATTCGTTAAATTATAATAGAATCACGGTTTCAAAATAAATTTTTCAAAGCATGATTGGAGCGGCCGAGGAGGTCAAGGGGCCTTGCCCAAGGTTAACTTACGTGCTAGGTTTGAGCACGTAATTAAAGGACAAGTAATTAAAGTTGATACACTCGATCCATCCAAATCAATTTTTGCTTGCGCACTAACATTACTATCAAATCAAATTCTATATTTTCACCTCCTATGACATGATCATTCTGAAATGTTTCATTCTCGATAGTTAAATCATTCTTCTCCCCTAAGTTCATGTCTTGAGGAGGACATTTAGGATGTGATTTCTTCACACAAACAATTTTTTTCATCGAACCTTTTTTTTCTAAGAGATGCTTTCTCTAATTTTCTCTTCTTTTTTCTTTCCCCATCAAGATTCAACCATTTTTATTACAAAAACAATCTTCAAGCCTTAATCCCAAAAGATTTTGGGTCCACTAACATGAATAGATCAAAATAATTGTAATTTTTTACCAGAAAAAATCAACAAATTAAAAAACCAACACTCGATACATACAAACAACCAACAAATGAACTAGTTATTTCTAAACAGTAAACAATTATGAATGAAATCAATTGATAAACTAATCAAACAATCATATTAATCAATAAAAGAAAAGGCTTTAAACTCTAAAACAGTGAAGCCCTTAATAAGGAAGGAAGTCGGAGGAGGAGGAATACCTGAAGGGATTAGCTGCTGAAGCGGTGATTCCGGTGAAGGCGTGAAGCCTGAAGCAGTGAGCACGGAGCACCAGAAGGATGACTGGCGCCTGCTGGAAGCGTGACGCCTGGGCTGAGAAGCCGAGAAGGGTAGGGTGCAGGGCGGTCAAGCGTCCTCGGTAGAGCGGTCCGTGGGCTGACGTTCGTGGATCCGGTTCAGGGCTGCGGTTAGTCTGTTCTTGGGCCGTTGGACGACTGGGCTACACAAAAATATTACCCAAGAACATCACCATAATTTATACTCGGACCTCCCCTCATGCTATTCTCCTCCAATTGGCGGGTCTTCTGCTTTTAGGCCGGGGTTTTTCTTGCCTTTTGAGGCTTTGAATCAAGGGGGCAACATTTCCTCCCTCAACCGCTATATGTCCCATACTTCTTTCTAGGGGCCAATAGGCAAACCCGAAAACCAAATAGACAAAACTCAAACCGCAGGTGAAACAAACCGAATCGCAAAAAATCCAAAATCAAACTCAAAAAAACGAATTGCATTAGAATTGTTTGATTTTGGTTTTCGCCTCTGAAAATTGAACTGAACAAATCAAACTTTTTAAAATATGCAACTTTATTTATTGATCGTGTGATGTTTTGTTTAGTTCTTAATTCTTAATTCTAGAAACTTAATGTTTGATACAAGATTTATTATGATACGCAAGATATTGAAATTTCATATTTATGTTTTAATTAAGTGTAACTTATATATACACTTTAGTCTCTAGCTATACTATCAATATGTTGATATTTTACATCGTAATTTACATTTTGTTTATTATTGTGTGATATTGATTTACATTTGGGAAATTGTCCTAAATAGTACTATGTAGTAAATATGTTTGTTTATTCCAAAATATGACTTTCATATTTTTATTCACTAAATGGGATTAATTATTGCCGAACCAAAGTGAAAGTTCGACTCCTATAAGCTAATCGGAGGTTCGATTAACATAAAAAATAAATGTTTGGCATTATATCTATCAAAACTAAAGTTAGAGTGAACTAATGAGGAGATTCCTATATGAAAATGGATGACGCTTCATCCCAGAGAGTTCCCCAACCCCAAAATCGACCGAATAATTGCTTGGGATGAAAAAGATAAATCGAGGTTTAATTCGATCCAAAATTCTACTTGAAATTGAATCCGATACATCTTCTTTGTGACACCCTTTTCCGGCCAGGTGAGCTACGCCTCGGGCAAGAGACTTCTATATGTATCACTGTACGTATTAGTGTTTGTTGCGTATTAGTCATTAGTTTTATTTTTATACTCCATATATCGTTTTTAATATTGCATATGCGACAATAGTCTTAAATGATAAGTTTTTTTTTACAGAAAATGGCTTATATTAAGATAATAGAATCCAACCAAACAACAACAAGACCAGACACAGTAGACAAACAAGAAAGACCAGAAACATTATTCGATCATACACCCTGAGATCAAACTCGGAAACTATCACCCACTCAAGAGCAATAAGATCATGATTGACGATGTATTCTCGTCACTTATCATATGTTGTATTAGTCACATGCCAAAAGTAAAAATCAAACAAGAGTTACCCTGAAAAAACACAACCTAGTAAAAACATAATCTAAACGAAATAAAGGAAAAGTTAAAAATAAAAACATAATACTTTAACGAAAACGAAAAGACTTGCAAAGGAGACAAATGTGGCGGTTCAGGAGAGTGGGCGAACCGTCGATCTGTCTTCTCCATTAATGATCCCTTCACCGCTCATCATCTCCTCATTGCCCGTGCCGCCTGCACAATTGTCCACTATATTCATCAACATTCGTCATCTCATGTATGCTCTGGCTCATACTCTTGATGCCCGTCAGATCCCCAATGAACATGCCTCCTATGCCGATCAAGAGAGAGAAAACGGCACCCAAACAGTTTCAGTCTCCTACACGTCGCACGCTCGATCCAAACCCTATAGTCGGAGCTTCGACACTACCCGGCGCCGGAAAATATGCCAAACTGGTCGCATGCTCGCACGACAGAAATAAAAAATGTGAAAACCAATTACGTCTCCTACAAAGCTCAATTGTGTGCTGATGCAGCTATATATCTCTTATAACATGTACACTATATTTTAGTGTGTTGAATAATCCTATTTTTCATCTTACTAGTCTTATCGACTAATTTTTTATTTCGCGCACTCGATCAATTATGTAATAATCAAAATAAATAATATTAGAGACAATTTTCTAACTGGATTGATTATAGTTACTGATGGATCATCGGACCAGGGGTAGCCGGAATCCACCGAGAATGAATGTAAAGGGGAGAGTGAACTGGACGGAAAAGTCAGGTATTCGATCAACAAAATTCCAGTATATTAGTCTCAAGAGTGCAATAGATTAAGCATCCCTATCCACAGGTTGGAAGGTGACATTTATATTAAGGAGAAAAGGAAATACTTGGTGCCCAAGTAAAAAGATTCTAGTCTAATAGGAGAGGGGCACATGTAAAGCTACTCTAACAAACTACCAGCCTGAATGAACCGGGAGCAGCCACGTGGAAAGCTGATTAGAGAGAGAACTTCTGATAGCTGGCTGATTGGTTTATTCTTCTAACAGAATTCCTGCCAGAGATCGTGTGCAGACAATCCGGCGTATTCCACCAGTGCGGAGAGTGACGTGGCGATATTTCCTCACGATTTAAGTCCTTGCGAATTTTGCCTAAGTACAGGGTTTTTTTCTCCCGACCTCGAGGGTTACTGAGGTCGGTATCTAGGGGCTCGGGCCCATGCTGAGAGGACTCGTTTTGCTGTCTCTCGTCCTCGCTCTGGAGGTGACTTGACCTCCTGGTGCTTTGATTGGTGTTGACCTGGAGCAAGACTTCTGAGGTCAGATTTGATGCCGACTGATGGAGTATATGGTCCGGGAACCCCCGGCCCACAGACTCCTACTACACCAATAAAGGCCCAACCGGCCCAGGAAGCACAGCAGGCCCCAAATTACGGTGCCCCAAGCACTTAGCAGCCCACAGCGCACACTGGGGTTTTCAAGCAAACTAAGAAACTGGGAGAAAACGGCAGAAAACAGTAGCCCTCGGCACCTGGAGCCCTCGGCACCCAGGGGGTCCCCGGCACTCAGAGCCCTCGGCTAGTCCTCTGCAACCGAGGGCACCTCTCCCGACATAATATCCGCGCCACATGCGTACAGATCACCGTACCCTGTACAACGTCCCATCCAACAGCCGCATTAAATGCGGCCACATGCGGCTGCCAGCGCCAACCAATTGAGGTGACCTCTCGGCCAATGGACACTTGACACGTGTCCCTGTCCGGCATTTATTGCTACTATAAATAGCACCCCATTTCCCCATTTGTAACCAAGTCATAAACGCTGCATACTTTCTGAATACACTTTCTCTCTCTATACTCACTTGCTCTGACTTCTCTCTTGTTATTCCCCGCAATAACCCCCCGGATAAGCTACCCCCCGGGTACACTATCCATCATTTGGTGCTCTCGTTGAGAGGTCGAACGATCAAGTAAGAAACCCTCCCCCTTCGCCAAACACTAGCCCTCTACCAAAATGGTGAGAACAACACGTGCCAACTCCAAAAACGTAGAAGACAAGAACCTGGCCCTCGGCGACGTCAACGACCCCGAAGCCTCTCACAGGGCTCCCGAGGGTGGTGTCATCGCTGGGCTGGAATAGGCGGCTGTCGACCTACGCCTTCAGATCCAGCAGAATGCCCCCGATGCCTGCCTCGGCATCGAGGCCAAAAAGAAGGACCGGAGCGATGACCAAGTCAGTCCTCCGGTCCTCACCATCGACTTTCATTCGGCGCTCTCCGCCTTCATCCAGATGCTAACTCAGAACCCGGGTGCCTTCGGCACCCTGGCTCTGGCTCCGGCTCCACCCCAGGTTGGGGAGAACATCATGCTTCCCCCTCTGCCACATCCCTTCGGAAACCCCATCCCTCGGGTTAGGAATGACGAAGGGGTAGTGGCCCAAGATACGGCCTCCCAGGAAGTTCAGTCCCGGGACCGCCACAATGACAACAGAGAAAGGCCCCGCACTTCCGCCCTCAACCGCTCGGAGGGGGGCAAGACCACCGAGGGGTCCAAGACCGCCTCGGAGGAAAGGCACTCCCAAGGCCCCAGGAAAGCGGAGGGTCTGTCTCGAGGGCAGACGAGGAGCGTCCTCCTCAGGACAAAGGCAAGGCACCCCTTCATGCCGACGATGCTCGTCACCAAATCAACCAGGCCCACTCGGCCCGGGTTCGTTCGCAGGGGGCGGAGACCCTCCCGAAGGACCCCCAGGACGAAATTATTGCGGCCCTCCAACGCCGACTTGATGAAATGGAGGCCAACAAAGCTCACGCCACCACCTCCACCCCTCATTCAGACCTCAAATACGAGGCCATGATGGCCAAAATGGAGGAATTGCAGAAGAAGGTAGCCGAGGGCTCCGGGGAACCCATTATCCAGCTCCGGACCCGGACGCCATTCACCCCAAGGGTATTGGCGGCCCGGATCCCGGAAAAATACCGAGGGCAACACATACAGCCCTACAACGGGAAGACGGACCCCCAGGAACACTACAGCAAATATCAGAACAGCATGATGATGGTAGGGGCGTCGGACGAATATTTGTGTCGTTGGTTCCTCTCCACCTTAGAGGGGCCGGCATACGAATGGTTCAACCGGTTGCCCGAAGGCTGCATTGATTCGTGGCAAGAACTCGCCCAACGATTCTTGACGCAATTTGTCGGGAGGTGTCGCACGAGGAAGCACTTCTCCCACCTCCTAACCATACGCCAAAGGAGGGATGAGACCCTTTGGGACTTCCTGGAGCGCTGGAGAATGGAAGCCGACAAAGTCGAAGGTGCTGACGACGGGACCCTCCTGGCCCTCTTACAAACCGTCCTCCGCACCGGCAACTTTTCAAGGACACTCATCATTGAACCCCCCCCCCCCCCCCCCCGCGACAACATAAGGGCCCTGCAGCGGGGGGACCGATATGCTGAGGCTGAGGAGGTGGAGAAATACCACCAGCATCCAGATCAGCAGCCCCCGAAGGCTGACAACAAGAACAACTGAGGGCCGGGGGCTCCTCCAAATCACCCCAACGCTTCAGGACCCTCTGATGACCGCCCTCGGCAAGGCCAAGCCAAGCCCGGGGGAGGTTATAAGAGCAGCCCTAAGACTTGGGCACGGCCCATTCTCCTGGACCGCCCCCGGACACCATTGACGCACCCCGTCAGCATCATCCTTGATTTTGCCGAGGAGAGGGGCCTCGTTGAGGGTGATTCTCGCGCACCCCCGGAGGTACATGCTATCAACCCTCAGTTCCCCTACTGTCGTTTCCATCGGCATCAGGGGCACAGAACCGATG